ATGGGAGGAGAAAGGGAAAGAACTTAGACACCAGAGATGGCTTAAATTTCCCCGCCCTTTCTAGGAACCAACCTTTGACTCAGTTTTCTCCTCAAAGCTCCAAGTCTAGAAAGTTCATGTAGTCAGGTGACAGAGTTCTGAGGTCCTCCTCCATGGGCAAGTCTACTCTCTGGATAAGGGAGGACAAGGCCAGTGCCAAGAAAAAAATCTGGGCAGAAAGTTTCACCCTAATGGCTACAGAGCATCAACACAAAGGAAGTGAGGAATGGGTTCCTTCATTATCATTCTCTCAATGCCTACTGCTGAGGGGATAACCCTGCAGAATTCACAAAAGAAGTGTCTGAGAGCTGGAACACTGTTTGCACTGGAGTTTTAGAGGTCCCAGAGCAGAGAGAATAAGGAAGGACTGAGAAAGAATTTTCTTTGGGGAGAAATGTTGGCCTTGCCACCACTGTGTCGTGGGGTTTCTGCAGCACTATTCTGAGAATCTGAACTTTTTTCCTGCAGGCAGAAGACTCAGAGGACAAGTGCCTGACTCCCATCAGAGAAAGCTAAAGCTTCCTGTGGTAGAGGGATGTAGATGACATTTGGGTTAGACTTGTATACCCAGGGGTATCAGAACAAGGGATGGCAAGGGCTCCTTGAAGAACAGAGGGAGACGGCATGGTAGAAAATCTGTGTGGGGAGTCTTAGGTCCTGACAACAGAGCCCCCTGGAGGACCAGAGGGAACCAACAACGCAAAGCTGCATTCCAGGGTGCTGAGGAAGAACTTGCTTCCACCAGCTGGAATAAAAATGTGTTCGCTTCTGTCATGGGAATTATAGAAGTGGGGGCTGCAGAGCGGAATCTCCAAAGAACCCACAAAGGGGTCCAGGTAAAAGGTCCATGAATCAGCTCTGAGCACAATTCAGGCCCCAAGACACAAAGCCACCAGCAAGCACACTTCCATTCCCATCCCTTCCTCCTGGGCAGCAGAGGGGCTGAAATCTCATTAGCAAGCTCCAACTTCTACCCCCATGTAGCCGGCCTGAACTGGGGGAGGACAGGAGACTGGCCCTTAGCCTTAAATCTTAGCCCAGAGTTTTGATTTCTGAGTCAAACAGGACATGCTATTTCCCAACTGAGCTTTTGTCTGCAACCTAAAATGACCAAAGAATTGTGTGTTACTCAACAATGAGTGGGAAAATCTTACTCAGGTCGGAGCTCAAGTCTCGACCAGTGACTCTCGCCCTCAGTTGAACTTGGAGGCACTGAGGATCTTAAAAATACAAAATGCCAAAGCCCAAGCCTCATCTGAGAGCCACAGAATCAGAATTGCAGGAGGTGGGCCTTAGGAATGTATATCAAAAATGAAAAAAAATAAAATAATAATTAAAACTTCCCACTTGATTTCAGTGTGCAAGGAGTTGCATGCCATTGTTCCAGGCATTCAAAGAGATTTCTCCCAGTGAAATAACTTTTAAAAGAACAATGAAAAACAAAAATAAAATGAAATTAGTTTAATTGTCCCAAGTTGTGTTCATCAGTATTCTAGGAAGATAAACACCATCCTCTCTAGATTTCATTTTGAAGCCAAAGGCTGTTTTATGCTTTGAACATAACCCAAAACTGAACAGAGCTGATGAGTTCACTTCTATGTGGGACTGAAATGATCAATCTAGTGTCTGAAGTTTGGAAAAGCCTTCCCTCCCTTTCTCAGTTACTAGCCAGGTTGCCAGTGATTAACAGATGGGAAGGCTTTGGCTTGGTATCCAGCATCCTGCTGACATCTAAAGATCTGATAACACCTGTCCTTTATGAGCATCCTAGCTGGGTCTGGTGTTGGAGTCTGCAAGGTCCCAGCACTGTGGAAAGACATTCTACGGGGATCTTACTTGCCTGCTCTCCACCCCGTGGACGGCACCCTCGTGGCCTGGCTGATGCTGGCTAGAGGTCTCTGTGCCTCATCCTTTCTCCCAGTGGACTGTGGAATGCCTGCCGCCACCACCCGTGTTTCCACACCATGCTGTCATGAAGGCAATCAGCACTGCAATTACGTCCAAGCAGCCCGTCCTCTTCCATGCTCACCCATTTCTGTTTTAGGGATTTTTTGTTTTTGTTTTTTGTTTCTGTTTTAATTTCTTTCAACACAATTCATTCTCTGGCTCCAAAGAAGGAATCAATCCCTGAGCAAGGTAACGATTCCATGGAAATCTCAGTTCCAAGCTGAACAAGGAACACACACGCCAAGGACAGCAGAGCTGCCATTTTCATTCCTTGGGCTTTGCAAACCCGCTCCCCAGTGATCCCAGGCTGCTGCTGACTTATAAGCCAGGGAACTTGCAGTGTTTTAAAAAAAATCCCATCAGAACAACTGAGAAAATATAGCTGAAACTTTTTATCAGAAATATTTGGAAAAGCTAAACTTCTTCATCAATTACTATGTGATGACAGCAAAAATACAGAACACATATAAACTCCAACTTGATCTGTGGTCCTTAACTTGGAATGTATCTTTAGACCAGCAGGGAAATTATAAACATCTATTTGCTATTTGTTTGTTTTTCTTCAGCTTTAAAAGGGAGGAGAGGGAAAAGAATCAATTCTAAGAAGGGCCATTATCTGTATGCTGTGGCTACAAATCTTGTAAATACCCACAAAGATTCTACCACATAAGCCAAGTGAGGTCAAGCTCTAATTGGTCACGCTGGTTTATGGCCCATGAGGGCCGTTTATATCTATGATTACTCTGGGCCAAGTCTCTTTCATTTCCACTTTCATTTATTACTCCTTGATAGCTGGTCCTTAAGTAAATACTTAAAGAAAAAAAAACAAAATCAGTCTTTTCGAAAAGCAGATATTTTTGTTTTAAAGACCTGATAAAACTAATAAACGAACAAGAAGAGGAGAGGAAAAAAGGGCAGAGTACATCTTTATAGACTTCAGCTTAATTTTTATTTTTGATAAATAAATTATTACTTCATTTAAAGAGAATTTGAGAGATTCCAAGTTATTCTTATGCCAGAAAACAATTTTTTCCTATCACTAGCTAAGTCCATACTAACAGAAATAATTGATAAAAATGAGGCCACAGGGATAAGAAGAGCTCAGCTCTCCCAAACACTGGCACCACACAGAAATGTTCAAAACAAAATGCATCAAAATCCTTCCTAAAATAGAAGCTTCTTACTACGCACACTGAATAGTGCATATATCAAAGCACATAGACCACTTCTAAAATTTTAAATGCCCGACCTTCACCCTGCATCAAGTTCACCTCCAACAGTTTCAAAAGGCAGTTGGTAAAATTCAAATAAAGTCTGAAGCTCAGTTACCAGTAATGTACCAACGTCAGTCTCTCAGTTTTGACCAAGGTACTGCAGTAATGCAAGATACCAACAATAATAGTAAACACTCGGTACAAGGTAGCTGGGAATGCTCTCTTCTGTCTTTGCAACTTTTCTGTAAGTCTAAAATCATTCACAAACAATAAGTTTACTTAAAAATGAACAAAAAGCAGTTGTCCTAAAACAGGGTCTCTGAATGTAACTGAAAGCTGTATTCTCCAAAACATGCTGGGGGAAACAACACACCCACACACAATGATCTAGACATTTACTACAGCAAATGTAGCCAAGCAGCTAAACTCAATTAAGAGGAAGAATTAATGGAAAAGACAATTGCCTGGGGTGTCTGGATAAGGCATCCAAACATAGCTAGCTTGTTTTATATACTCCTGAAAGGCTGTTTGTAAATCAAACTTACGGAATGCTGATCACATTTTGATCACTCTAAGGAAATGTGTGCATTTGCATAGATGTTTAATAAATGCCAGGAAAATGGGAACACTTATCATGTGACAAGAATTAGGACACTTCCATTGACCATTGAAGCTGGCTTTGCAGGCATCACCTTTGTCCACGGAGTTGCTCTGCAAGCCACGGAGTTTATGCTTCCCCAGCAACCCTTGCCTCACAGGCCTCCCAGTCTCTATTCTCCCTTTCTCTGCCAAGCCACTTTGTGTGGTTTTGGTTAACTCAGAGCTATTACAACGAGGAATTCAATTTATGGACAGGTACCAATATGCAAACACAAGCCTTGCCCTCCACAATACAACATGTCTTTGGGCAACAAGACCAAGCAAGTATGAATACTCCACTGAACAAGAGAATCTGAAGCAGGTAAATGCCTGACAACTATGCTTGCTCTTACCTGGGCTCATGCTGAAATACTGCTCCTGGCCCTGGAGCAGACTCCTGACGCCAGCCCTCCTTTTCCCACCCCACTGGTCAGATGGAAACTATTACCAGTCCTAGAAATCCAATTCAAGATCTAATAAAAAGGATGCCTTAATTCAGTCAGTCCAGGTAAGAAAAACATGCCAGGGAACTGGTTTCTCATCCATGGATGAGTTAAGGAGCATTCTGAGTTCCAAATGGATAAGGGGCTAGAAAATAGGTCTTAAATTGTTCAGGAGCCAAACACATGGTTCTGCTCATAGTTTCGCCTGGGACTTGCCATTGTGGCTACAAAATCTCATTAAACACTCAGGATAAAAATAGTATGTGTATATCAGATCATTGTTCAAAATTATTCATTCCCCCATCACCTCTTCGGGAAGAGTATAAGTCCCCTGTCCTAACTTGGCTTTGGCCCTGTGACTTTCTTTGACCAAGAGCATATAGGCTGAAGAGGCCACATGTAGTCCTGAACCTATGTCTTAAGAAGCCTTGCATATTTCTAGCTGTGTTTTTGCACTCTATACTCGCGATAGAAAGCAGACCTTCTATGCAGCTGCTGCTTCTTCACCCTACACCCTGGAATAAAAACGCATTGGACGAAACTGCTCCTGCTGACCTACAAACCCATTAGCAAGACCAGGTAGGTCAAAATGATGAGTCTAAATAATGATGTTATAAAGCCACTGGGTTGGAGGGTGGTTTGTTGTGCACATGATTTTGTCCATAGTTGAGCAGTAGACCCTATCCTCTCTCCAGATGCAAAAGCATCAGGTACTCACCACCGTCAATTCCAGGCCAGCCCATGAAGTGAGCAGAAATCTGCTTCTCATCCTTCCCATACTCGTTCTTGGCTACTAACTTGTAGTCCCCATTGTTCATGTGGGTGGGATTATCCAGCTGGAGGCAGCCGTGGTACTCCGTGTGATTGGTAACATGGATTTTAGTACAGATGTATTTGGACTCATTCAGTATTGCCCCATTATAGAACCACTGAAGCGCCGGTTTGGGGTTCCCTTTCACAGTGAATGGAATGCACCAGTGGTGGTCTGAGGTTGGAGATTCGAGAAATGTGATAGTTGGAGCAACTAAATTGAAAAAGAGAGAGTTAATAGCATCAGAAAGCTCAAAGATTTCCCCATCTCCAGATTTCTGTCATCAATAGGGGGTTTGATTCAACCATTGTTTGGTTTCAGAAAACACACATGACCCGCAACCCTGGAATCCAGCAATATTTTGTATCATCATCAAGGCTCATGCAACTCCCTACAGAGAGCTTCAGAGAGATTCCTCTCTCTGCTCTGCCAAAGACCCGTGCATCACAGCTATTTTTCACATCTAATCAGTGTGGGAACCAGCTCCAAAGAGATCCCAGAGGTTTCTGACAGTGGAAAGGGTTCAACTGAAGTTGACTTCGGTTTATATGCCTTGATATTATATAGATTGATCATCAAAACATTGAGGGCCACTATTTTTAGAGTACTTCACTAAATAATACAAATAATGACTAAGATGACTTTGGAAATTTTGCCTGCAGGCCAAATCTCACATAAATTACACAAAACAGATCAAATTGATCAATACAGTTAATGTTCCTACCAATGCTGATTGATTTTACTGATTATCAATAGTAAATGCTCTTTAAAAGCATCACATTTCATTATAATACAGTGGAGGTTTGGGGCTAGGATTTCAGATGTCCTTTTTCAGATCCTTTTAATGCCTGAAATTCTATCTAGACATGGACAAACTAGAGATTGTTTGAACATTAAATATAAAGCATTTTATGCTTTGGGAAACAAATATTAAGAAGCATACTTAAACAGAGTAACTATCCTAAGTGAAGAGGTTCTTCTAAGTGAAGAAAAACCCCTAATAACTGTTTCTTTCAATATGATCTGACTGATAATTATACAACCAAGGACTAGAAAACACCTTTGAGACCTAATGGCATCATTTTCCAGATGAAGAAACTTAGATCCAGGGAGGTTAAGTAACTTGGTCAAGGCTGCTAAGGGAGGCCGATCTGAAACAGGAATCCAGGACTCCTGATGTCTAACCCAGAAGCCCTGCCCCTCACGCACTGCCTCCTGGTTGTACCTGTTCCTCGCACGAAGGGGACTAATACACTCTGGTGGGGTTGCTGCCCAGGTTATCTCAGTTGTTAATATTCTTTATCAATTATCCCTTCTGCTCTTTATCCAAACTTTGATAGATATGGTTAATTTTTCAGACCACGGCTCCCATATGAATATCAACATAAACTGAGAAAATTTTAAATTTGCATGTCTTTATTTGTAGGTTTGGGTTACAAAAACAAAAACCATAGTTCCTACCCCACCGTGGGTAGGAACACTTACCTTCCTCCCACCAGCCTAGGCCCCAATGCCCAGGACACATTTATTCATTCCACCATGCTCAAATGAGCTTTTGGTGAGGTGCTGATTTAAGAACCTTCTGATTAAAGTCAGAAGCTGGTTGTGTAGGTTTGGGGATAACACTAACTTCAGGCTCCCAGGAAAATCAAAATGATGAGAAATTATGAATCCAGCACCTACTGGGTGTAGTGGTGGTACTGGCATTCACAAAAGATTGTGGTTGGTGGTATCAGTCATTCACTCCAATAGTCATATAAGGAGGCCTGCTACAAGTGGACATTAACCAGTGTCTGCACATGCGTGGTGTGTATTCGTGCACGCACACAGGCCCACTTGTGTTTTTCTCTTCCAAATCCTTATTGAAACAGAATAAAACCTCATTAATTTATACCATGCCAACACAGGACTTGCAGTGATGTGAACAGTATATGTGACTTTTACTAAATTCACACTGAATGCTACAATCTGGAATGTTAAGATATGTGTCATGTTATTTATAATACTGGAAAATAATGCACATATACCTAACAAGCGTTAATACCCTCTATCTTAGCAGAGGGTACCCACCCTCTATCAATGTATACAGAAATTTAAAGCAGTTATCACAATAAAAGGCTTTTGCAGGTGATAATAATTTTCAATAATTTAAGTAGGACTCCTCCAACCTTCTCATGGAAACTTAATATCAAACTAATGAGGTTTTACTGCATCAACAGTAAAAGTAGGTGTTTATAAATAGCCAGCCCCATTCTTTAGGTATCAAAATTTCAGAGTTTAATATTGCTCTTATATAGAAAAATTTAGAAACTGGTTGATCAGAATTTAAGCTAAAACTTATGAGCAAGAGGAAGGTAATCAGCTAAATCTATTCTTTCAAATAAAAACGGGAAGGCACAGAGGACAAGCTTAAGATTAAAAAGAAGCTCAAGGCAAAGACAACACAGGAGGAAGAGAGATTAGCAGAAATAGAACAAGTGAAAGAGACTGATAACATTTCTTAATTAAGTATGCACAGAACACTGCATACACATTTTTTAACACACTTAAGCAGCACCCAGAGTGCCCCAACAACAAATGTAGGTGTGTCCATGATCATTTGCTATTAAAAACACATGCTGGTCTGATTACGTACAATGCACAGTGAGGTTCACAGAATCTTGATCTTCTCCTACAAGATTTTCTGCCACACAAGAGATTTGCTTTCCACTGTCATCAGATGAAATGTTAGTTATCCTTAAGGAGCCCTGTGTGTGGCTTGTTTCATTCTACAAATGAATTAACAGACAGAGATAATCTTTGTTAGGAGTGATCCCAAAGTGACAAGATTTGGGGTTTCTTCCCCTGACTAGAGAAAATAATTAGTAACATTAGAAAAAAGGCTTCCAGCCTAATCGAGTACAGGCAAAGGAATAAATCAGAAGTTGTTCTATTTCTCTAGATTTCAATTGTTTGATATGTGAAATTAATTTAATCCTCGAACGCCTACCTACCTTCCTCCAAGGGAAAAGGAGAGTCACTCACCTTGTTCACGATGACACAAAAAGCTCACTAGAGACATACAGCCTCTCCAGATTATTGAGTTTACGTAACTAAAATGCAAACCTGCATTAGTCTTTGTTAATTGAGAATAAATATAAAGACACACCAAAAATTCCTTGTACGTGGCTCTATAAAATACTAAATGGTTATCAGTAGGTGCATACAACCTCAAGTTCTGAGACACTCTCTCATCTGTCTATGAACACAAAGCCAAAGACAAGCCTTACCATATGTTTGGAAACCAGATTACCGACATCCCAGTACAAATTCGGAACTGGATCGCCCTCAACACTACACGACAATGTGATAGACTTTCCTTCCTCCACAGTGAGGTTCGGCGCAGCCAAATTTGCTGATGGCAAACCTGTGCAACATGAAAAGTAAATGGAGACATATACAAATAAATGCATTATCGAAATTATAAAAATAAAATTGCTTTAATTAATGGCAATTTGTTTAATTTCTGAGACTGACTTACATTGATCTGAAAAAAGTACCAAGTTGATAAGATTTGCAGATTTAATGTGAACCAATCGTGTGTAATAATAAGATTACTAAACAGATTTTACCTATTTCTTGAACATACTATTGTAGAATAACTTTTTATTTTAAGAGACACTAGTTTGCAGAACTGCGTCCCCTACTTCTGTTTCTGTTCGACCATTACTAAAGCAGGCATTATGTCTGTGGACCATCTTAGCTCCCCATCTCCTTCCCTCCACTTTTTTTATAGTCAAGAACAAAACAGGGAGAGGCATCTACATTCTTTGCATAAATCCATTTTTTTGCATTAAGTACCTCATAAATCTAACCTACTACCAGACCTGGATTTGGAAAGAGTCAGACTATGGAAAGAAAATATAGCATCAAAGCATTTTTCAAAGACATGAAGCTTGAACCGTGACAGCATTACAATGCTTCCGAGCCATATAAGTCATAGTTAAATATTATGGGTAAAACTGGTCATCCTGTTTATGATATGATGAAAAAAAGTAGATGGATCCTTATTCCAATAAAAAGTTCTTCGTGGAAAAATCCTGAGAAACTGTTAGTTATCTGATAAAATTTTGAACCTTAGAAACATTTTTCACTATTTCAAGACAGCATCAATTTAATACTTTTACATTTCAAAAGCTAGTTTTCCTTTATTGACGCTGCAATCACTTCATTAAACTATCATGCCCATGGGGTGCTTACACTGCTTTTAACCATATAGGAATCAGAGTATTTTTCACATGAAGACGGGTCTCAGAGAGTATAGCAATAGGTCAGGTCCTTCCAGTCAAGCTAGTTAGTCCCTTGCTTGATATCAGAAGCTCTGCTTGGGACTGAATTCAACCCAACAGCTGTGTCCCATGGAACTATGACACATGATTAACTGAGGAGTAACCTGAAGATCAGAAAAGGCAATTCATCTTCAATGGCTGTTAAATTGCAATTAACCCACCCACCTAGTGTTCTGTGACCCATGAGCCTCACAATACTATGCATAAACCCTTCCTTTATGAAGCCTTCCTTAATGACAAGGCCATTATTCTTTATTACTAAAGCCATAGTGAAAGAAGATTTATACAGCATATGTCTCATGGTGTTCCCACCCTTGTCAGAGGACTTCCCAACAAGCTCTGGCTTTCAGTGACTGGTGTAACTTCCTCAGAGATCTTCCTTCCTGTCAGCATCCAATAGAGTACAGTGTTATGTCTTTCATGGCACTTCAGAAAGGCCCCTAACACTCCGAGTTCTACAGAACAATGAAGCAAATATGAGGGATCAAGAGTCAGTGCAGTTAACAGGAATGAGGACTAGATCAGGAGTCAGGAGCCCAAGACCCTAAATCTGACTCCTATCACATGGCCTTGGATGAGTCATTTCCTCTGTCCCTGTGTTTTTTTTTTTTTAATTTCTATAAAATTAAGCTGTTCATTTACAAGATCTAGCTCTAAGTCCTTCTAGTTCCAAAATTTGGTGACAACTTCCACAACAATTAAGCTTTCCAATTTATTAAGAAGGTGTCAAGGCAAGATACAAGATAAGGGCTCATTTAGTGAAAAATCTCCTTGAAGTCAGTGGTATAATGTGGATGACTTTTTTAAAACTATATATATATTTTAATCAAAATATAGAGTCACAAAGTTTGAAGAGTCTATAAATCTATAAAACTTGTTGTGAAATATTCCATCTACTTTGTGATAAACAGTCTGTTTCCCCCAGAGGCACTCATTTCATCTGTTCAGTTCTTCTTTAGACCTGGATCGCTACATCGCTAAATAGCATGCTCATATTGCTACTTCTTGATTTTTCTGTGCTAACATTATCTGCTGACCTGTCACTGTGGACTATAAGGCTCACATTCACACAGAAGGCCAGCCCTGCCCATATTCCCATAGCACACTCAGCATATTCTGTCTTCACACCCTGACCCATGCTGTGAATTAAGATTGTCTAGATGTAGGTGTAAAGTTTATTATAAAAATATGGACCCTACAAACAGCTGAATCATCATATGTAATGGTAATATTTTATCAAATTTAAGAAAGCACTAATTATAGGCTATAACATCATGATATGTGCCATTAAGAAAGAAAGTTATGCCAATTCAACTGTGATGCAATGCCTTCTCACCATATAGACGTCCTTTATTTGGATGTTGGACCTTCTAGATATCCCATCACCTGTTTTCACCCTTTGCTTCCTCTGTTCTGTGCTTGTGTCTATTGGTTCTATTTACAGGGAGATTTCCTTAGACTGGCCTGTCAAACTGCTTTTGAGGTTTTCATTACTCTGTCACCTATTTAGTTTCCAAGACTCATCTTTTGATGAATGGTCTTCTATTTTTATAGTACCCAGTTTTTTACTCTGACTTCTGTGAAAGATTAATCATAATTTGTTTTTAAATGTTTTATTTCCATACAACTTTGTTTCTTGTAACTTTTTTCTTTCTCTTTGACTGTTTTGTACTTGTCTTTTATATTATAAGATATTCTCAAACAGTTGGTGATCCTTGGCCAGTCACACATGCATAAGAATGAGGTATTAGAGCCCTGGCTGGTGTAGCTCAGTGGACTGAACATGGGACTGTGAAGCAAAGAGTCACTGGTTTGATTCCCAGTCAGAGAACATGCCTGGGTTGCAGGCCAGGTCCCCAGTAGGGGACACATGAGAGGCAGCCACACATTGATGTTTCTCTCCCACTCTTTCTCCTTCCCTTCCCCCCTCTCTAAAAATAAATAAAATATTTTTTAAAAAAGAATGAGGTATTAGAAGCACTGCATATTTATTCACTGTTGGCTTCAGTGGAGGAAAATATTATTGGCCTCCTTACTGGGTACTCCCTGAGGTCAGTATTATTAAATCATTTTGGGGAAGGCACTGGTCCAATTATTCAGATAATGTTCTTTAAGCATCCTCCTTGGGAGAAGAAGGCTGGAAATATCAATATTCAGTATGTAAATTCATTATTTTCTTACATTTCTCACAGTCTCCACTCTATCTAAAGATCCTCAAGGCCTTTGTTTTATGTTCTTTACAGAATAACCCTGCTTACCCTGCTTGGGGGAGTGGGGGTGCAGTCACCTGGGACGTATGGAACCAAATGGGATTAACTCCTTCTTAACAGACTTTCCACCAATGTCCTGTGTTTGGCATCACCTGTACTGTCATTTCATGAGCCTCGTAGTAGTTCTGCAACATAAACCACGCTTCCCCTTGCCTTTCTCCATTGCCAACTTGGTAACCAGCATTCTCAGTGTTAAGTCAGTTACTACTCATCCATTACTGCTCTCATCAGTTACTGCTCATCAGTTACTACTCCCTGGCTTGCAATTAATGTGTGTGTTTTATTGACCCTTCTTTATACTTATAGATTTATCTGCTGATACTGTGGGACCACAGAGCCAGGGCCTGCCATGGTGCTTGTTTTTAAAGGATGACCCAAGGCCTCCACAACTAGAAACAGCCAGTGGAGCTTGGAGACACCCCTCTTGGTACCTCAAGTACAAACCTATGGGGTGAATTCCCTACCTTTTACAAATGTATCTCCTAATTTAGAAATTCTCAGCAGGAAGGGGTAAAAATAAAGAGGTTCTCAGCAGAGAATCCTATGCCATAATCTTAATTTCCCCTGTAATATCTAATAGAATGTTCTTCAAGCCTAAGTTTGTATAACAATTCTAAAAATATTTGTTTAATTATAGCACTCACTGGGCATTCACTAGACAAGATACTCTTCTCTAATACTTGAAGTTTTTGTTTTATTTAATCCTTACAACCAATCTTAAAGTTAAGTATATTGGCCTCGTTTAATTAAGGAAGTCTATAAATTTTGGAAAAGTCAAATCCATCTTCTAAAGTTGCCTTTATCCATGGATTTGAACCCCACACTCAGGGTCGTCACAACTACTGTATGCTACCCCCCAAATTGTATATATCCATGTTAGCACAGACCATAAACACCAATATATATCCATGATCTAGGAATTTTGTTCATTTAAAAAATAGTTACATTTCTACTTGTGAGGGAGGAGTGAGTCTCTCTTGTTTATAGAGAAATTATATCATGCTGTCATAGCAGTTTCCAAAGGAATCTGTGCAAAATTGGCCAAGTCTAGGCCTTTTAAATGTAAAGTCTTCCGCAAATGAGTAAGCATCTGACTCACGTTAGTTCTACATTAATATGCTGGCCAAAGACTTAATAATGGAAAAAACAATCTGTACTTGAAATATCACTTGAGGTTTAATTAGCACAATAAAAATGAATTGTGAAGCATGAATAGCCAAAGCAGAATAAACCATTTGCCAGGCACTACTTCCTGGCTTCATAAGATTTGAAATAGGCACAAGAACAGAGCAAAGCTCAGCAATGCTTCCAACCGCTTCTAGCACTACTGTAACGGGATCCTGATTTAAACTTCAGAGATGTCTTCCTTTGCATCTGAGAAACCTCACTGGAGATAAGAGATGGCCGGCTGCCCATGCAGATGAACACCTTTATGACAATGTCTCTTGACCTGTGTTCAGGAAAGACATACCAGCCTGTAGACCTCAGCAGAAAATCATCGACCATCTAGTGAAAAGGCTGACTTTCTTTAGACCAGAGTTTGTCAAACTTTAACGTGCATATGAATCAGCAGCAGATCTTATTTAAAATGTTGCTTTTTATCCCAGCAGGTCTGGGTTGGAGCCTAAGCATCCACATTTCTAACACACTCTCTGTTCCACAGACTACACTTTGAGTAGCAAGGGTTTTGACAATGGATGTGACAATTGTTCATGAAGCTTCTGCTTCAAAAGCTATTATTCTTAAACTGACAGGGGCCTGAGCAGTCGTCCACTCCACCAAACTTCCCCCCAAAGTGTGAGTGTGTT